CAGCGTGGAATATAAAAATCCTGAACACTCTTCATCATCAGTTTTATGTGAAGTAAATCCCTTCTTCAGGGTGAGCGCCTTGGAGTTTCATCTGCATGCGGGTGACCGCGCTGTGGAGGTAACCACGCTTGTCACCCTTGGTTTATGACTCCGAAAACCGGAATCACACTAAGCCATTGCCAACCAAATCCTAAGTGCTGCAGAACTCGTGTCCGGTTACCTGAAGTAATATAGATCTCTGACAAATACATACAATTGAATAGACATGGAAATTCCCGAACGATAAACTATATAGCACTTAGAACCTGCCTGTTAGGAATTCCCTAAATGTGGCACTGCGACAACTTAAATACTAAACCTTATGTAATAAATAACTACACTCTAAATACGACATGTTCACCATTCCTACATATATGCCTGTAAAACTCTTTAGTAATACACAGTGTATCTATAATAAATTTAATATTAATTAAATTATATACTTATATTTATAATTTTCCCCGTTTCAGTAAAAAATATTTCAATGAAAGTTTATTTTAATATTTTTTATAAACCCTAAATCGCCTTACTTTTTTCAGGTTTCTCTATAGATCTATATATTGCTGTATTGTAGTGTCATTAAAAAAGAAAAAATGGCTGAAGAACATAAAAATATAATGTGCTTCCGTTATCTTTTTGCAAAAGGCAAGATTTGAAGGAAAAAAAAAAATTGAAACTGCATGGACCGATTTTAAATTATGTTATAACGGACGAAATTCTGAACTTTTATTTCAACAATAAATATTGCTCAACCTTCATTTTCAAGATATGTGCAAACATTGTTGGAACTATTACATAGAACTTCGTTTAATTTTGTCTAGTGTTCCTATACACATGCCGGTGATCGCATATAACGAGTAACTGAGAAACAAAATCACTGTAGAACATGTGAACTTGAATCGGGCTTATGTTATTGATCGGCGGCCGGAATAACAATATGAGTTAATCTAAATTAATATCACTTAATTAGCTTAGATTAAGTTAAATTACTATTCCAACCACAGTAATCCTGTAAAGCTAAAAGGAGATTTTTCGAATAATTTTCGAGCATTTGAAAATCACATCTTTTAATTACCAAGTTTCTCACAATTTTACATACCTTAAAAATTAAAAAGTTAGGGAAACTCCAACATTCATCGTGGATTGATTCCTTGCCAAAAGGTATAGTCTAGACTTTGAAAAAAATCCTTCCAATGGATTAATTAGTTTTTGAGCTATTCGTCCCAGCAGTTCGAAAAATTACATTTGAGAAAAAATGTATTTGTAATTTTATCCACAAAGTTAAACTCGTGCAATAGCTACCACAAGAAACTACACATTTTTTAGATAATAAAAAATTAAAAAATGTAAAAAAGGTGATTTTAGAATTTCTAAACGAAAGCAGCCTACGAAGTACTGAAATGGTGCCTAACTTTGGAAAAATAGTGACCGATATTCTGAAAATGTGTCAGATACCCAAGTAACCGCATAATCGAAATTATCAACATTTCCCCCTTAATATTTTTATAGTCGTTATATTAACAGAGTCTGAGCGCCGAAAAAACTAATATATAAAAATATATAATCTTAATTATAAATTTAATTAGCAATTGTATTAAAAGTTGTAGATGGCAAGTACTATGCGTGGCTGAAAAGAAGTCATCTCCTTCGGTTACGGGGCAAGAAGGTTATTCCACTTGTTCCGCCTACACTCTTGATAATAATACCCTCTCTTCTATGACACTCCCTCCAAGTTATATCCATTATAGCCATAGGCGTAAGATATCCGTGAAAGAAATGTTGTTAACTTACAATAAATTTGAAACACTATCATGCCAGGCAATAAACGAAACGACATTAAATGATTGGAAAGAATTTTGTAAACACTGGAACACGAATATTGGACGAAAGATGGAATAATAAAAGACGCAATTGAAGACCTAGAATTGGAAATACAAGACTGTGAGTCGCATAAGGAATCAGATGACAATAGATCAAAAGATTTATAAGGTAAGGGAGTACAAAAGTAATAATAATTAACATCATTTATGAAAATTGATTTAAAATTTAAGATGTACTTTCTATGATAAATTAATTATGTAATTGCATCATAGTAGATAATCGTTTAAAAAAATCATACGATACAACATAAATATAAGAAATATGCGTATAGTACATCACGTTTGCTGCATAATGCAATAAAAAGTTAATCAAGATGCTAATTAGTAATTAGTACTTGCAAATAATCACGTGTTCATCAGAAGAATCCGAAGTTAATATGCTTTTGGGATGAGTCTACGCTCTTTCATCTATTTGTTGCGTCTGTCTCACTTTGTCTCGTTGCTTCGTTCGCTTTCTTTGCCACGTGGTGTTCTGTGACCGGGTTAATAGGAGAGGATCAGTTCCACCAATAAGGGAAGCGCTTTACTTTACTTTTGTCATGATATTAAAATGGTTGGACTGGTGGGGATTCGGTCCTACAAGTTTCTCAGATGACTTCTTTTCAGCCACGTATAGTACATACTGCATTAAAAAAAAAACTATCAACTTATTTATATTAAAAATTCAATATAATCTTGAAATAAATAAAAACATATATACCCCATCTACCTTCTCCTCCCTCATTCCCCTCTTTTATTTATTTATTTATTTGCTTGTTTGTTATTTATTTATTTATTTGTTATTTACTTATTTCATTAATTTCAATTTTATCTTTAAATTTATTGTTGTTACAAAATAAGGCTAAAATTAAAGTAACTCCCAAACTAATGTTCTTTAATATATATAGGTTATTACTTTTTTCTAAAGAATGTCAAAATTCATCGACTGGTGCAATAAAATATATATGATTCCATTTTAAAAAACATCAATGACCGTCATATGTCTTCTACATGACTACTTACAAGAAAACTATTACCATCAAAATGTTCTCCCATGAAACCATTCAAATCCATTTTAAACATTTTTCGCTGAACTAAAATAATAAAGACGTAAATCTAAAGGGCAGACTGTGGTGACCCACTCTGTATATTATACAGGATTCATAGATGTGATAACTAGAATCTGTAATTTTAAATCTAGGGTTGGTTATATATTTCTATTATACTTTATTCCTAATTTCACATTATCGTTCTTTTTATTATTTTATTTCGTGCTATTTTATTAATTTTTATTTTTGGTGATAAAATTTGAAATAAAATCTTATACTATATTAATGTATATAATCGTTATTAATTAATATAATCGTAAAAGATGTTTTTTGTGTTATTTTAAAAATATATATTTTTATATGTTTATATTTTTGTATTTAAAAATATATTTTTATACATTTTTATTTTATGTCTTTAACGTTTGACTCTTATATTTCCTCACTTATATTTAAATATTAGTACTTAATCGTGAATAATTTTTAAAACAATTATCATCTTTTCGTTACTTTCTTTTCCTTATTTTACATTTTGTTTCGTATTTCTCTTATGAATATATTCCAACGATATAACCTAATATTCATAATCAGTATGGACCTTTGTTTTAAATTTCTGACCACTACTTTTTTTATTCTGCGTGTACGAATATGTATAATAGATTAATTAATTATATAATTAGGTCTTCTGAAGCTTTGCTTATTGATCAAAAATTTGAGAGAGCAAAATATCGCAATTGAAATGACATTTTTTTTTTTATTTTTTCACATTAAACTTTATTTTCTTAACTGATGAACGTTTTGTGCAAATGTTTAGCTTTTAAGTTGGTGTGAATGACAGGTGTTGCGTGGTGATGTGTGAATGTGGATGGATGGCAAAACTGAAAAACAAAAGAAACACGAGTAGGCGAGTATGTCCGACCGAGCTGTGGGTGAACGACCTATTCCGTGTGACAATGTGTAATAAATAATAATCCGATGATGTAGTGGGAATCTTTGTTAAAACTAATATTATTAATAAATAGTTTAATAAGTAACAACGTCGGATATTCATTATCTACCACACGTTTATTAAGAAATTAGGTCTTCTGAAGCTTTGCATACTGATCCAATACTTGAGAAAGGAAAGTATCGCAATTGAAATAACATTTTTTTTTTTTTTTTATTTCTTCGCATTAAATGTCATTTTCTTAACTAATTAACGTTTGAATATTGAAGTGATATTTCATATCTTGTAAAAAATTATATTTTATTTTCAATTCATAGATTTCATATTTTTAATACATTCTGAATTAATATTAAAACCGAATTGTATCCGTAAAACCGATACTTTGAAACCAAAATTTAACATCAGTTATGTATTTTGAAATGTTTCATTTTTTTTTGTTTGTTTTTTTGCCACATTTACATGGTATATGGAAAATACATTGCTATTTTCGAAAAGTGCATAATAACTAAATGTTATCAGATCGAATTTAAGAACTATTTTCTTTCCTTTTTTTTTATGTACCTCAGTTATTTCCATAAACTACACGACAATTTTATTTCTTACTATCTGTTCATATTTCCCGCCTTAAGTCTAACACGCGTTTTAATACACTTTTGCATATATTTCATACATATATACTTAACTTCTTATATTTCCTTTACTTTATTTATTTTCCATTGTTTTCCATTGATTTCTATTGTTTATTATAATTTCTAGTTCACTTTAATTATTATTAGATATATTTTTGAACCTGTCTTTTCATTTAAAAAGAATAATATTATTAATAAAAGAATTAGTTACAGAAATGTAATGTTCTCCTGAATATAACACATAATTAAAATATATAACATATATAACATATATTTTAATTATAATATATAACATATAATTAAAATATAATTAAAACATATTAAAATTTTTTGAAATTTATAATTAAAGTACATTAAAATGTATTACTAGTAAAAATTTATATATTATCGCATAAATGCCTTATCTATTGTATATGTCAGTATACATTATCTGCTAGATTGGTACACATTTTAAGCACCAATCAGTGATAAAGAAGTTTCATAAGAAGGTTGTATAAATGTCAAGTTCTTATATAATTGTTTCACATAGTGTCCAGCATTGAAGAGTGGAAAAAAGATTAAACATTTTTACACATTGCTTTTTGTACAGAGTAAGTTGTATCTTATTTTTATCTGGCAGGGAAGCCATTGTCTTTATAAAATATCAAATTCTATAAAATCACTTATTATATTTATATGATTTATATATATTATATCCATTCACATATTTATACTATGCCAATAACTATAAAAGTAGTATATGTCAAATATTTTTTAAAGATGTTTAGAGTTATCGTTGCTTGGATATATTACATTATGGAACAAAATATTTCAGAAATTACTTGCTCATCTAGAGCAGCGAAATATCTTTATACTTTTCATTTATTAATAATTCAATTTTTTGACAAGAGATCTAAAATATGAGATTTGGCAGCATTATGTAAAGTTATTTTACAGAATATTTTGTACAGAATATTCTTTAAAAAAAATAATGTCTATTGTGCTCGTTATAACAGATAGATTTTTTCTTAATATCTTTTACTTTCCTTGATGCTAAATTTTTTAGTAAACATGAAGTTGAAGAATATAGTCTCTTCCTATCTTTTATTCTATGACAAATAAATTTTGCTAACAACATTATGTTATAACGTTTGTAACAATTTTTAAGTACATATACGCATAAATACAGTCATATGATATACATAAGATCATTTATTAAAGAAGTTATTAGGTCTTGTTTTAAAATGACTATTACTGTTAAATGTTTCGGGTATGTTTTGTAAACGTTAAGCAATTTTCTGTGGTCATTTCATATTATAATTTTGTCTCTAACATGCTACTTATTAACATCAATGTTATTAAAATTGACAAAATTTAAGATATGTAAGAATCATTTTTGAATCAAATAAGAATGCAAAATATTCTATTGAAATTTTTAGCATATTTTATTAGCGCATTATAATTTTTTAAATATTTCTTCATTTAGGTAAGATTTTTTTCATGTAAATCATGCTCTTTCTATACATTTTTATCAATAAATATTAATAGTTAATTAACAAACTTATTCATTGCTACATATTTGTCTATTTATTAAAGTTTTTCATCTGGAATATAGTATATTATGGTGTAATGTCTTTCAAATATGGTAAAATTTAAATATGACATTTTATCGCCTTAATTTTAATTTCTGGAATGATTTAGAGTTGCTTTGTCTTATTATTAGATTTTACTGATAAGAGGATTCTCCTTTGTTATCAGTACTAAAACTTTTACCTATTATTTATTATACAATATTGCATTAGTTTTTCCTACACACCATTACTTTAATCTACAATTAGATATATTTCGTAGATAGTGGTTGAGTCTCATCATTTCCATTTCTTTATTGTCTTTATATATCTGTGTCTTTTTTGTATTTTACAGGTCTGACTTCTTTATAGAAGAGATATTTTTATAATGTGTGTTCTATTGTTTTTGGTTCATTTGTTGCATTTTTTATATTAATACACACATATTTTGTGGTTATAATCTGATAAAGACAAATGTTAACTTTTTTTATATTCAACTCATAGTAATAATTTTTCGTTCTACACTTATTCTGTGTAACAGAAGGACTTGAAATACTAAGTAGGTAATATATAGTGTGAAGTATATTCAGTTGAAAGTACTTATTTAATTTTATTCGCAAAAATATAACTGAAAATTGCAAATATGAATGCAGTGAATTTGTAATCCGCTGAAGAAGATTTAAAGCAATTTCTTTTTTCAAGTATAAAGAAAAATGTAATTAATATTTATTTCTAAAATAATTTTTTCAATTTTATGATATAAATATTTTGTCATTTGTATTTATAATGAAAATTTTGCATTTTATACCAATCTTTCGAATTAAGAATGTAATGAACAATTGTTAATAATGTATGTACATTAGCATGCATATGAATATTGAGCCTACTTGTTGTCAAGGAAATATCAAAGGAAATTATTTGTTGGTTTATTTTATCATGATGTATAAAAATATGTTTTAATGGTCATATTTTTATGAGATTTCCAGTTCAGGAAGGTTTTTCAGATTGACCAATTTATTTTTAATATTATAACTAGTGGTTGATATGAACCATTGTTACGAAATATTAAAAATTGAAGAAAAAATATTGTCAGACAAAATCAAATAGTATTGAATTATAGTATGACTTTTGACAAGTCAAAACTAGTTGTAACTGTTTGTCTGTTGTCTGTTGTCTGCTATAACTTTTAACTAGTTACTTCTACAATTATTTTAATGCTACTATTTAAAACTAGTTTGTACTGGACAAAGCATTACAATCATTGCAAAAAGTATTACCCATTGAAGTAACATCTTTGTAAAAGGAAGAGAAACATTTAAAATTTTAAATTGCATGAGATTATACCATATCGTAGCAAGTAGAATATTGAAAATTTGTTTTTCAGTGTTTGTAGAATATGGTTATTACTGGTTCTTTTTTGAGTTAAAAGTACACAGTTGCCTAAGAATGGATTTTAATGGTAATAATATTCCATTAATATTACCTTAGATGTGTCAGAAACATTAATAACCAAATGATTTTTAAGCAATACTTGCATAGATTGATAGCATTTAGTTAATTGCAGAATTAATTAATCAACACTAGTACTAACCAGGGACTTCAGTTAAAACTAGTAGTAGTAATAGTATTTATTTACAGATTCATAGAGATGTAGGTTTCCAGATTTACAACAATTCTTAGCTTAGACATTGTACATTTGTCGGTTAACATAATTAATATAATTAAGATTAAAATTAAAATTAAAATTAAAATTAGAATTAGAATTAATTAAAATATTTGGCATAGTATCTTTAGTTTACAGATTCAACTTAGTGCTGCTTTCTACATCGACTATCCTCATTTCGTTGTTTAAGTTTATTGTTGCTTCTACTGATTTCGCATGTTTCTTTTACAATTTTACTTCTTAACAGATTATTAACTTTCCAGTTTAACCTAACCCTCATCTAACTATGTAACCCATTTCTTTAGATCATTTAACAGTCTTTTTCTCATTTCCTCACATTCCCGGATATGCAACAACGAATCATGTCCTTTACGCAATTTACATTTTCTCTTCACCTTCTTTCTCCTTATCACATTCCCTGCATTCCCACATCTTAACCTCACCCATTACTCCTCATCATTACCTTTGATTTCTTTTATACTCCAGTAATCTTGCATATCTATTTCTTTCTTTCTATCCTTGTAGCTGTTGCAATAAGTAGACCTATCCTGCTTCAATATTCCTGTATCGTTTACTTTAATTTTATATGCACTATTTCCTTTAGTTTCTCCTTTATTATGTTAATTTCTATTCTGTTCCAAACTATGTTCCTAACTTAATTTCCTCTTTCTTTCCCCCTCCCCCACCCCTCATACTCCCCAATGCTTTCTAGATCCTGCCCATGCGGGGTATAGAGTTCTCATTTATTCACCCTCTGAGGTCTCGCCTCAAGAAAATGTGGGGCCATCTATGCTCTAGGTTTTTTTCGTATCTTCATTGTTTTTCGGAGGGGATTCTTTACATTTTTCTGGATATATTTGGGGACAGACAAATCAAGCAGCATACTTGATAACCTGTTTTAAGGAAGTGCTTTTATTGGCCGGATACATTGGTGGGGGCACTACTCACAGACACACTTCATCACTCGACAATGAGTGCAAATGACAGTGCCTATGTTGCATACACTGACAAAATATCCTTTCCTATTTTAATGACCTTCAACAAGTATTTACCATCCTTTATTAACACTGCAAGCTGTACACTATCTTTTCCTTCTTCCATCAGCCAAATGTAGGTTCGAGTATCCTTGTCCAGAGCCATATTCATTTTTCCATATCTATTATGGGCTTTTTCGGCCTTTTCATATTTGCTCCAACCTCATACCTCGCAATCGTACAATAGACCCGCTCTTACGATAGTATCGTTCGCATTCAGCCTTCGCCTTAGATTATTTAGCCTAGCTCTTAATTGTCAACCCCTAAGTCATATTCGACGCCTTCTGACATTCGCTTGTCTTGGCCAATACTAAAATTGGTTAGTGATTTCCAGCTCCCTTCCACTCAGTAACCATCTTTCCTCCTTCTCTCTCCTTCTCCTTCTTCTGTTGCAAAGGGGGGGGGGGAGAGAGAGAGAGAGAGAGAACTCGACTCTAATGAATCTGACTCTCGGTTGCCGCTTTACTTAATTCTTCTTGATACGGTACACGTCGCTCTCTTCTCTCGCGTAAGACTCTCGGTTCGCTCCTCGAGCTGCGCACTCGAGGTGGGCCTTCTTTGTTCATTTGTCGTAAAGATCAAGCGGATCACCGCGCGGGTCAAGCGGATTGCCGCTTCGATTTGAGACTTCGGTTATCACTGTTACGTGCTTCTCATTCACGCCACCTTATCGGTAACCGGAGCTCGCATAAATCTTACATTGTTGAGTATCATTATTTTCGTCTTATTTGTGTTGATAGTCAGATTTTTTTCTTCGTGTATTTGTTTTGTTCATCTTTTCTATTGGAAAAATTAATCAAACATTGCTTACGTCTTTTTACGAACGTTCAAAGATGATTGAAATAAAATTTTGTAAATTTTTATTTTATTATAATACGAAGAGTGAATGGTGTAGATTATATTAATGATTATAGATTCGGGTGTATGTAGATTGGTTACTGTGGCGTGTGAGTGGTGAGTTTTGTGTATTTGTTAGGGGTATGTTCGCGTTTGAATATCTTCCGGTAATGATGGATATTTAAGCAATTCGGTCCGATATGCCCTATGTCTCGTGGTTTGGATTAGATAATTTATAGATTTTTACTAGGGCCTAGTGCAAACACTGTGCAGGTGGTCTGACAAAGGAAGTGCACGAACTGTCCGACTTCGATTTTAATGTGCTTTTGCAGAACGATAGCTGAGGTGATCCCTTTTGACGTATGCAAAATATTAAGTGTAGATACTCAGCAATTATTAAGATATAAATAATTACGACAAAAAGGTGTGTCGTGATTTAAACTTGGTGTTTCAAGATTATGACAGCGGAGTAGTATTGGCATGCAATTGGGATGCAATTTTGCTAATGT